ATGTATTCTATGCAGAAATGTTTGAGTTAAAATAAAATGTTTAACAGGTATGTTTCAGATGAGCGAACTTGATCTGCCGACCCTGGCCTGCTTCTTAGGCCAAATCAATGAAGTTTAGCGCTCTTCAGCCCTGGTGCAGTCTATATGTGCATGCCCCAATTCACCCGTACATCGGTGGCAGTGCAACACCGCTTGTGCAGCAGTGCCACCGTATTAATGTGGCCGTGCGGGAGACGAAAACGAACCACCGATTCAGTACGTCCCCAGAATTCCTGTATTTAAAATTCTTTGCAATGTAGCAGGAAAAACAGCCACAGATTTGCCGTAAAGGCGTAGCAATGAACGCCAAAGCAACAAATTGGAAGGTCACGCGCCGAATGGCAAGGAGATCAAAACGTGCCCTGCGTTTCTCACGCACAAATGACGCACTAAAGGTACTCCCCGGTACATATTATTGCGAATAAGCGTTTCAGTTGTTACTCAACTCTGAAAAGCACGCCCTTTCCACAAACGGAGACTGTGCAACAATTGAAGTGACCTTTGTGCGCCCGGTAACTACAAGAACATCGTTCCAAGAAAAGCCCGACGCCTGCCAAGACGTGCGATCCTTCCCACCGTGAGCTAAGCGCGCGCGAGTGAGCGTCGTCTCCCTCCTCTGCCGGGGCAAAGTACGTGTGAGAGATGAGAGCACGCACCACCCCGTCGCGATTAGTCGTGATGAAATGGCGACGCGCGCTCATTGCACCATCTTGCTGGAAATGCTGCAAACACGATAGCCCCCCCCCCCCATAATGCCCGTCAACAGTGGTAAGTGGTAGATTTAAATAGCTTGCTGTTTGAACGTTAAAGGAGGTGCTCCTTGCTAGCTCAGTGGTTAGCGCCTCGTATCCGCAACCCAGAGGTCCCAGCTTCGATTCCGTATGCTGGAGTCTTTTTCTAGATTATTTTTCTTTCTTCCGTTTACATATATATAGGTACGTGTACATATACTATGAGTGACGCCGACGCCGGCGGCACAATCCAGCCGAGAGTGTCCATATAAGTGAGTAAAAAGATGACGTCGACCAAGAGGGTGTCAAAAATATAATAAAAAGGCGTATCAGTTTCAACAAACAAGTCTTCTTCACTAAGCTGGAATATCGATGCCTCCAGCTTCAATCCGTCATAATAATCGCCTGAGGCTTGCATGTGTAAGTGGTAGATTGCCGACGTTGTAGTTGAGCGTGTTTCTTGTTGTCTGGATAGTCAAAGATTTCAGGTAGTGCCGTTTAATCCAGTTCTCTTCCCTGGCGACACCTGGAGCTTCATCCCAGTCGAGGCCGTGGTGCATTCTTTCTGTGTGTGCTATAGGGCACTAGGAATGAGTTTTTTTTCTTTTTTTGACGTCATTTAGGTGCTCTTTTAGACGTCGCTGGAAATTTCGGCTTTCATCAACGTAGACCGAAGTGCAGTTAGCACAATGACTATTACATACAACGCCAAGAAATGTTTCTTTTTTTAGTTTTTCCTTGACGCTTGCAAGCTCGTGAGATAGCCTATGGCACGGAATATGGGTGATTTGCACAATATATTCACGCAGGACACGTGCCAGTTTTTCGCTGATGCTGGCAAAGTACGGAATGGAGGCGCGACGTTGGTTGGGGGAATCACGTGGCTCAGTCGGGCGCACTGTTTTTTAGGTGATTGGTAGATCACTTATGTGGGAGTTCACTTAATTTACTTATTATGGCGGAAGTCTTATACGCTCATCGACCGCGGGAATTTATCGGCGTTCCTCGGAAGAGTCGCCAGTCAGCAGCGTATACGCTGGAGATGTAAAAGAGCATCATCATGCACTTTCAGTTGACTACCATGCACATCCCTCACCCCATGAGCGCTTCTTTGACAACATGCCACTCAGTTAAGCCCCCTCACCTATCGCATTTGCGGTACGTTACTGGACTCGACTTAGTTGCACGTTGACTGCTTATGTGGTAGGTTAGTGGGTTCAATTCTTGAGATGACCAAACCATCAGATGATCAAACAAAATGAAGGGAGGGCTTAAGAAACTATTCATCATAATAACTTGTTGTTATTCGGATGATTATCTGATCAGTTTGCAGGATCAATGACAAGTGTTTTATAGTCTTCTCATGCATGTCTTAGTATCTTTTCATGAGTGCCTCTGCCCGATTGGGCTGACTTACGAGATGCCGAAGGAGGACAGCATCTCGCATGCAGTGCACCACTCAGGATGACGTTACGAGCCCCCTTCACAGTATGGATATCCTTCCTTCTTCGTGGGCCTTTAGCAAGTTATTAAATATAGCTATTACAACGTCATCGTCGTCTAACCATTTAAAGTCGTCCTACCCACACATTTCGCAAGCTGCTCTCCTGATACACTCGAAATGCCGTAAAAGAGAAATGTACCCGCATCTTTTGCTCAATTCGGTGGCTGAGGCAATGCACCGAAAATGTCAACGTAAGGGCAATGACGGCGACGATGCAAGATCGATTGCTCATAAAGCGAGACAAACTAGTGGTCATACCATATATTCACTCTGTATCCCGTTGCCTCAAGAAAATAGGAAAATGTACGTAATGTATCAAAACGGCCGCGGTAGGAGAAGCCGACGAAGAACAGGTGAGCGTTCATCGTGTCTCTGTGCTCCGTCACACGTAATAATGTCAATTTTTTTCAATATCCCCCACAAGTTGTTGAAGATGGCGAATAAAAACTGTCCCGTAAGGAGACGAGGAAAATAATGCGTGGTCAAACACAGAACACTGTTTGCTGATTGTGTGCGAGGTGCGGTGTTTATACAGTATTCCTTACCTCGCTGGGAGGATTAGGTAGGCAAGCCGGGCAGATGCCTAAACGACCACCTACATGAACGCTTCGATAACATTCGTAATGGCAACGATGGCGTCCCGGCATTGCACGTGAGCACGTGTAGATGCCCTCCACAGTTTCAAAGGACCGCAGCTGGGTTGACAAAATATGAGCAAGCGCGCATATTCAGTAAGGCTACATGCTCAGCTGGTGCGAGATAGCAGTGGATGTGTAAGGAAACTATTGGTAGAAGTATCTGACAGAAAGCTCTGCTGCTTAGAATACAGCATTTCGCGCAGCTGGCCAGTGTGGTTATTGCTTTTTTCGGTGGTTTCCTATCCCTGCATCACTTCCCTGTTATTAGTCTTGTCCTGTTTTTTTTTATTGTTCACGCAAGTTCATATAAGATGTATGCTGTCAATAAAAATTGCTTTGGAAGTCAGCACTTGTTCTATGTTTCCTTTCCGTGGCCGTGCTTTTGTCTGTGTATCTTAGGGATGCACAAGCAAGTCGCCCAGTCAACTACTTTATTTCTTTACAGCCATTTTTTTTTCACATTTGTGCAGGTGCAATCAGCTTGTCTATACAAGTGCTGAGTGACTGCTCCTTAAACGACCCCTAAACACTCCATGGTCGAAGAAGAAAGAAAAGGCTTCTTTGCCACCTTCATGATTCTTCCTTTGAACGATATGTCCTCCTAGCTGCTTGTTCATTCATAAAGCACGTGCACAATGTCAGCACAGAACGTTTACTGCATAAGGACTTCTCGCGTGCTGAGAGCTTTACTGCTGGTACGCAAGCGCTTGGGGCACATGGCCTTGCGTACGCAACCGGAATGGCTTATAGCAGCGCATGCGCAAACGCGAGCTGCACGAAGGTTCCATGCACTTGCAGCACCATAGCGTCTTGTCATGTACGATTTATTTTTTAATATTTTTAAAACCTAGGATATTGAACCGGGCATAGGTAGCGGCATGAAGTAAATGACTCTCAGTAAAGCATTCTTAACTAATATGACTGTTATCAACTTGAGACAAAAATAAATATTTCGTCGTATGTGCCACAGTTGAGACAGAAGCTGGTGCCGCTGATGCCTAGCAATCCAGACGGGCGGTCGTAGTTCGACAACGACGTAACTATAATGTAACCCTGCGTAAACGAAGCACTCGAATAGGACTTCTTAAATGAGTTGCACGAAAAAAATTGAAGTTCAAAAGGAAGACACCTGGATACAGCGCAAACTAACAACCGAAAGTTTATTGGAGAAAATGGGCATATATATGCGGTTACGGTAATAGGACTTGTAGTCATCGTAGTCAAGTAAAGCATCACTGTAGTGAAGTCTTACACCAAGCTGCTTCAGCTGAGGTGGCATCATGGAGGGCGACTAAGCCATGCTTTTCGAGATCTGGCGCCTTTGTGCTCGGGAGTCCAGCGGGTGGCTCTGGCCTGTCTCGGCTTGACTCGTCGTGAACGTAGGTGACGTCAAGCGTAAAATGGTCCACTGGGTCAGCTATCTCCACTAGGAGGCGAGTGCATGGTGGCAGCAATGTTTATTGTCACGCAGAGGCACAACCTCAGTGACTCGGCGACGCATATGTACTTGGGGCTTTGCGCATGCGCAATACCACCGGCCTAATGTCCTCGGTACGTGAGCCGCTTGGGTACCAAACAACAAAACTTTCTGTTATTACACATTCCCCATAAATACCACAAACCGAAGTCAAATCAGTGTGTCGGGCAATACAGTCATGCGAGGAAAAAGAAAACAGATGGGCGAATGCATGCAAGGACGGTAACATACCATTCGAAATAGATATTTCTCGCAAGGAAACCAGCCCAGAGTACGTGCATTAATGAGATCACGTGAATGCCGTAATGTCCTTCGTTGAGCCGTTGTGGCAATACGAACTGCAGCAAAAGCAAGGAATTGCAAAAAATCAATAACATGCTCATTTTCATTTTATAACGTGCTGTCTACGGGTACTTCAAGGGCATAGCTTCTGAATGTTACTCAACTATCTATATTATAGCAAAACATTGAATTCATCCCTCCTGCCAGCATTAAATAATCGAGCTGCAGTCCATTCTTACGTGGGCCTCTTGTTGATTTCTATATGTATTTGCTAATTAGGAACGTAACTTCAGTGTAATTTGCTTCGTTCCTGCAGTTTGTATGTACAACGCAACGTATATGGACATACAACACAAGTGCAAGCGACTACATTCGATGTAAGATGGACCAAGCGAAGAATTTTACTGACATGTCTATTTTCTTCAGACGGATGTACTTTTTTGATGAGCAACAGTAAGATATCTATATTACTTCCTAAAACCCGCCCTTATTTTATTACCTTACATTCACAGCCGATGGAGAGCCAGGAACCTCGAGGGATTATTTTCGAAGCAGCAGAAAGATGTCATGCACGTCCGCAACCAAGGTATGCAGAAAAGTTCCTACTTTAGTAACGTATTCAAAATGACGACAATGAAAAGGTGACAGAACCGCGCACTTCAAGCAACTTATTCCGTACCATTTTTCAGCCCTACCATTTTTGTTTTGTTTGGCGTGCATTGCAGGGTATACGCAAAGGTTCCATTTTGCGCTTCACTAATCCTTTGAGCAGGAAGCTTTTCCACACCGACAGCTGGGCACTGGGGCACGTTTGCCAGGCTTTCGCTACATTGTGCAAAATTAGCGGCCTGTTTGCGTCGATGGGGGCAGAAAAAGATGTCCTGGCCACTTTGTCACCCCTTTGACATGAAGCCACTTAGCAGTACATTGAGATGTCAAAGCCACTGTCGTTAGAGTATGCTGCATTCAAACACTATGATCAATGCACATTTGCAGCGGCTGAAATTCGACTTGCCCATGTAGAAACATATTGCAAATAGTGGACGAAGAAAAGGCCCCAAGCAAGGCGCTAAGCGACAGCAAAAATGCCTCTCAGTTGTTTTTCATAGCCGGGGTTTGCGCCCTGCCTTCGTCCTATCGTCTTGACACTGTTTGTCTACTAGAAACCATAAACCAACCATTGCGAAATCGTGCCAGACTTCCGGAATTTACGCGAGCATTACACAAAACAAAAATGGGGCACCCTTAAGCTTCGCCTTTAGGAGTTGAACGCGATAGCGAAATCCGGCCCCTAGTGCGGCCTCAACCGCTAAGTGCGTACTTATTGGTATGTTTTGTGACACACATACACACACACACACACAAACGCACACAAACGCGCGCGACGTATCTATAGCAGTGCAATGACTGTGCATTGTGGCCACTTGCCTCTGCTAGAACGGCGCTCTGCTGTAGTCGAGACACGTTTTAGACAATGTCTCACAGATGACACACACACACGCACACGCACTCACACACCCACACACACGCGCACACACGCAGACGCACACACACACACACACACACAAACACACTCACACAAACACACAAGCACGCACACACACGCTCACACGCACACGCACGCACACGCACGCACGCATGCACGCATGCGCGCGCGATTGGTACATACAAGTTTTTTATCTAAAGCAAACGTTGCATGGCCTCCAAAATACACGCCACGCGCTCACCTTCTTGGAGGCCATAATGAGTCTAACATTGCTTCACAGATGGCAGCACATTATCTAGCATTTTCATTTTGCTTGATCAACGCCTCTGGAAAGGTATGATATGTTTTCGCTAGATGGACATTGGTACCATTTTAGAGCTGTCTGAAAGTTCCTGTGTGTTTTTAGCGGCAATGGCTGCTTTATCCCGGCGTTTCCGACGTATTTTGATGGTCTCCCAATCGCGCCTACAAACCGCCGAATGGGCTCGTTTTCGTCCTGACACCTGTAGAAACAAAATGCGTTAAGGAGACTCCGTCTACTACAGGGACGTTATATAGTGTTTTTTTTTTCCTAAAGCAGCTGCAAGTAACGTCGTAGTTTTGTGGTAGGACACCTCCTTGCCACGCGAACGGCTCAGGTTTGATCCGCAATAGGACCGCAAATCTTAGTCTTTACTTTATTTGCTTCTTCTTCAACATTTCCCTTACCGACAATGTTTCGCTCACAACCTACAGTGCCGATACCGACGGCGGAATTCCGGCGACACGGGCTTTCTAACGCTATCGCATTAAAATAGGAGAATCCCACGTGCAGTGAGAATTGGTGATATGCGAAATACAAATGAGGAATGTAATATGTGACTGTAAAATCAGCAAAACGATACGATGCGGACGTAATATATGCCGTACATGACTTCCATGTCATGATTATCATGTTTGCACCTGCCATTTGTGTTTCTCGTCCATCAACGTCCCGTAGTACCACATTTAGTATATCTGAAGCTAGCGAAACAGCCGTGAGCACACTATAAGCGTAGCATGTAGTAAAGTTTAGCCTGACACGCATGTCAAGTTTATCATGTTTGGACGCTTCGTTTACCTTCGTCGTCTATTCACGCCATGTAACACCTAGTTTTGTATGTGTGAAGCTAGCGAAACCACCACGAGCGCGTTATTGAGCTGGAAGGTTGTCATAATCTTACGTGACACGCATAATTATCATGTTTGAGCCAGCCATATACCTTGGTCATCATTCACGTCGTGTAATACCAAATTTGGTATATCTGAAGCCAACAGAACAGCCGTGCGGGGATCACGAGTGTGGTATGTTGTCATGTTTTTACGTGACACGCATATCATAATTATCACGTTTGCACCAGTCATATACCTTGGTCACAATTCACGTACCGTTATACCGAATTCGGTAACCTAGTGAAGAGAGCGCGAGGGCACCATGATCGTGGCGCGTAGTCATCACTTAAATTACACGCATGTCATAATTTTCACGATAGGGTTTGTAATTAAAGTTCGCAATGGAGTCGTGTCATACCACACTAGTTTTGCATTGCGTCATGTAAACGAAACCACCGCAAGACCAGCAAGACCAGGAAATATATAGCATGATATTGATGACATATATGCCATGACTTTTATGTTAAGACTAATCACTTATGCTTGTCATACACTCGTGCCATGGCATACCAACTTTCATATAGATAGGCCAGGAGAGCTAGAAGTTGTAGGCGGACAGACAGACAGACAGACAGACAGACAGACAGACAGACAGACAGACAGATAAATAAACACTAGATAAATAGACAGACAGACAGACGCACAGACATACACACGGACAGACAGGCAGACAGACAGACAGACAGACAGATAAATAAATACTAGATAAATAGACAGACAGACAGACAGACAGACAGACAGACAGACAGACAGACAGACAGACAGACAGACAGACAGACAGACAGACAGACAGACAGACAGACAGATAGATAGATAGATAGATAGATAGATAGATAGATAGATAGATAGATAGATAGATAGATAGATAGATAGATAGATAGATAGATAGATAGATAGATAGATAGATAGATAGATAGATAGATAGATAGATAGATAGATAGATAGATAGATAGATAGATAGATAGATAGATAGATAGATAGATAGATAGATAGATAGATAGATAGATAGATAGATAGATAGATAGATAGATAGATAGATAGATAGATAGATAGATAGATAGATAGATAGATAGATAGATAGATAGACAGACAGACAGGCTCAACACCCCTTCATTATTTTCATTTTATATCAAAGTCTCACGGCCGTTTACCATAAAGCGTTCTACTTGCCTTGCCATGGTAAACTTTCTGAACAGGACACTTAATTACGGAGTCAGAACTTAGTCTTTAGCGGCAGGCACATGTCATGCCATGACCATGAGGCGTTTTCGTCACGCGATCTAGCTACCGTAGCAGTGGCGTGTGAGTCTGCGTGCGCCAGGACTACGTCGGCGCCTTGAAGTCGTAGTGATGTTTCGGGCACCGTTTTGGAGGCAGAACGCAGAAGCAAGAAGTTCTCCTTGCGCAAGCGCTCCCGCTGATATGTTAGCGTTTGTGGATGTAGCACTCGACGTGACATACCGAAGCCTGTTAACTAAAGTATCCAGCGCCGAAATCTTGCAGCAAGTGCATTTCGCATTGTTGAAGAAATAAGTGGCCTTGAGTCATCGTGGTCGGCAGTTAATTAAGTCAAAGTGGCTGTAGAAGGATAAATAATGAACAACTAGGGCTTAGTGTATTCGATTGTGTGAATTATTTGTTGCCACCACGATGGTAGTCTACGACGAGTGACGAAACACCACAAGAGAGAGAGAGAGAGAGAGTAAGGAAAGGCCGGGAGGTTAACCAGACATTGGCATCTGGTTTGCTACCCAGCGCTGGGGGCGGGGAAGTAGGGGCAAGAAAGAGGGGGTAGATAGCGAAAAAAACGCACGCGCACTAATAAGAAAACGAAAACACACACAGTAAGGGCGTCCTAGCTACAACCATTCAGTAAGGCCGGTCGATCGCAAAAATTGTAGTAGCGCTTTCAGGGCCTTCTTCTGTGAAGTTGTATCTTGTCTATATTGTAGAATTCCTTGCTTCGACAGAGGTTGATTATCTAATTTGCTTATTTCCTAGCGAAGGCATAGTCGCTGTTTACTGTACGCTAGGCAATCACAAAGAATATGTTGGGTCGTTTCTTCTTTGCCACAGTGGCCACAGGCTGCGGTGTCGGCCATCCCAATGCGGAAAGCGTAGGCGTTGGTAAACGCAACGCCCAACCACAGCCTACATAACAGGGTCTGGTCTGCTCGGCAAAGCCTCGAAGGGACTTGAAGACTTAGCGTAGGGTCAAGCGAGTACAGTCGGGCATGCTTGAAGTGTGGCTGATTTCATTGTGATGTGGTTTGCTGGCGAGCAAGCCTGCGGAGCTTTCTTGCAGCATCTGTCCTAGAAAGTGGTAGTCGTAGTTTATGATCTTCTGTGTGGGCTGAGCGGGCAGCTTGATCGGCCCGTTCATTGCCGATGATTCCGCAGTGACTGGGCAACCACTGAAATGTAATTTGGTGCCCTTTCTCAGTCAGGTGGTGTATAACCTCTGCTATTTCTAGTACCAGCTGCTCGTGTGGTCCATGGTGTAAGGCTGCAGTGCCGCCTTCGAGTCGCAGAAAATAGTCCACTTGCGTGTAGGTTGATCAACTACAAATTGCAACACGGCGCGAAGTGCTGCCAATTCTGCTGCCGTTGATGTTGTTGTGTGATACGTTTTGAATTTATTTGTCGTGGCCAACCTTGGTATCACTACTTCGCCTGTAGAGCTGTCCGGCTGAACCGATGCGTCAGTATATATATATGTGTGGAGTATTGGTATTTCTCATACAAGAGAAGTGGTGTGAGCTGTTTAAGAGCCGGTGAAGACAAATTGGCCTTTTTCTGGACGCCAGGTATGTTAATATTAATCATTCGTTGAGCGAGGCACCATGGCGGAGTCACAGGTCTAGCGGCAGGAGAGAACGAAGTTGGGATCGACTCACCATGTGCGGCCA